GCTCTGGGACAAGTTACAGGTTGTGGAACAGATGAAAGAACTTGGGAAGCGCTCACGAATCCATCTGGGTCAGACAGCCACCCCCAAGGAGGTCAGTCTGGAGGTGTGAGTCTTCCAAAGGCCGCTAGAGGGCACATGCAGGAGATGAAGAACAAACAGCTTGGAAGTGCATTTGGCTCAGCTTAAGAGATTCATTAGGAAAACACACATTCTTTCAGGCCTGAGTCATTGTCCTGGCTCTCAGTTCCCACCATACCTCATTGTTTAGAGCTGTGCAGATGGCTGCTATGCCCATCAGGTGTCTTCTGAGAAACAGAACCAACAGGATGGATGGGTGAATGGGTGGTTTAGGAGGATGAATGGGTGAATGGGTGGTTTAGGAGAATGGATGGGTGAATAGGTAGATGGGTGGTTAGGAAGATGAATGGGTAGATGGAAGGAAAGGTAGCTGGATGGATAGGTAGGTAGGTAGGTGAATGGATTAGGTAGATGAATAAGTGAATAGAAGGGGTTGATGAATGGGAGGGAAGAATGATGGGTGGGTAAGTGGATAGATAGGTGGATGGAGGCATGGATGGATGGAACTATTTTAAGGAAATGGCTCATGTGATATGAGGGTGGTAAGTATGGCCTTCTGGACAAGGTAGAAGGCTGGAAACTCAGGCATGAGTAGTTGCTCAGTCTGGTAGCAGAATTTCCTTCTTCCTTTTTTTTGTGATCTCTGTGTATGTGTGTAGAGTGTATGTATGACTGTTTTGTATACGTGTGTGTGGGTACACGTGCATGTGGAGGTCAGGGAGACTTTTCTATCACTCTCCACCTTATTTTTTGAGACAGGGTTTCCCCTTGATCCCAAAGCTGATAAATTGGCCAGCTGTGCTGGCCATCAAGCTCCAGGGGTACACCTGTCTCCCCATCCACACACCTCCATACACTAAGTTTACAGACCTATGCCACTACACCTAGTTTTTTTACATGAGTGCAGGAGATCTGAAATTGGGTCCTCATGCTTGCATTGCAAGTACACCTATTCTAAAGCTTGATGAAGTCACAGGATGCTTCTGTCCAGATAAGAGATTACCTAAAACCAACCATCACAGTTGGCCTAAGAGACAGCCGCTGGACTGAAAAGGAAGTCATTTGTGATACCCTGAAACGCTGCTGCTTTCTGTGAATACTAGAGGTTGGAATGTTGGGATGCCAGGGGTGAGGCCACTGCATGTGAGTGATGTGAAACAAATGGACTGACAGGTCTCAGTAAGAACTTGAATGTGAGGTGAGGGATGCCTGCAGTGAAATTCCAGGCTGGTGGCTATGAAAAAGTAGAGAGAGGGACCAAATGAGTGATAAGGGGGAGAGTGCACTTTTTAGAGAGAGATATAACATAACCTCGACATTTAGAGCAACATGGAGATGAAGGTGTCCAGAAGGCAACAGAGCCAAGAACCATGCTGAAGGGATGTACATAGGATTTCTGAGAGGCTTGCTGTGGTGCCCCAGAGGGACTGTGATTACTCACCGGTACAGGGACACTCCTTTCAGTGATGGGTATGGAAGCCTGGATGCTACTTGGCCATGTATAAATAACGTGAAGATCATTGTGAGGCTGGAAAGATGGCTCAAAGATTAAGAGCGCTTACTGTTCTTCCAAAGGACCTGAGTTCAGTTTCAAGCATCCAAGTCAAATGGGGCTTACTACCACCTGTAAGTTTAGTGTCAGGGGATCCGACGCCCTCTTCTGACCCCTGTGGGAACCTGCACACGTGGTATACCCATAAAAATAAGTCTTAATAAAAAGATTGTGTTGTGTAAGAACTTATCTGTCCCCCCACCCCCTGGGTTGGCATTTTCCTGATGGTGGGAATGTTATTCATTGTGATCCTCTTCTCCATATGAATTGATGCCACCAAGGAGACAGGACTGGGGTTGGTCATCAAAGAATCTGATGTGATGAGAAGGCAGGGACGTGGAGCCTGTGATATCAGCCTGACTTCCTTGGAAGAAGGGGAGCTAGAAGCTGATTTCAGTGATACTGACAGTGATTTACTCAAGGTTCTGTTGAACCAAATCCTAGTCCACAGCAGATGCAGGCTTTCAATACCATTGCCTAGCTGGTGAATGCCACGGCTCCACAGGGTGAGGTACAGGGTCTCTATGTCTGGAACCCTATACAACCATCCCCTGTGCTGCTTCAGTTGACAGTAATTCTTTATAATGAAACTTTGGTGGTGACTATATCTCTCTCCCATGTCATGTGAACAGTTTTAGTGAATTATAGAGCTGGGGATAGTAGGAACCACTGAATTTGTAATAAATTGGTAAGACATGTGAGTGGTCTGGGGCCCCTGAACTTGCAGCTGGTATTGAAAAGAGGGCTGTCTGTGCTGGAGCCGATCATGCCTTGACCTGTGCCAACTACAGGTGGTGTCAGGACTCTATTGTAGTCCCTAGGCTGGACTGTCCTGTCCTGTCCTGTCCTGTGCTCAACCCCACTCAATCCCCACCTGAATTTCTGCCCTCATGGAAACTTACCTTGAGTTCTGCAGGAACTCAAGTCAGAGTTCAGGTCTGCTGGGGTGGGTAGCCTCTCAGGAGACTTTGTGGCCCAGCCATTCCTACTCTTGGGTGCTAACTGGAGTGTGGCAGGGGTCCTGCAAAGTGATGACCTGCTCCAGATTCAGCAGGAAGGATGTGATAATCCTGCTCTCCTCTCTCAGATGGATGGATGCCTGCTGCAGGTAGTTGGAGGTGTGCCAGTCTGGGGAGATCTGAGTGATGAGGCGCTTGAGGGAGCCTCCTCCAACAGCCTGCCAGTAGTTCACCTGCAGCCTTGTGACAGTGCCTGAACCGGACCTGGCTCCTCAGCAGCCCCCATATTCTGGACCCTGGGGAGCACACCTCCCATCAAAAACAACATCTGCTAGCAACTCTGGAAGCCCAGCGGCTTGCAGGTCAGGGTACACGCAGTCTGCTAGTTTTTCATTGTCTGTGACAAAATGCCTGAGTAGAAACAACTTAAGGAAGGAGGTCTGTGTTGGTTCTGGGTTTCAGAGATTTCAGTCCTTCATGTACAGAAGGTCGTGGTGGATCAGGGCAGCCCCCTGCATGGCAGCCAGAAAACAGAGCTACAATGCCTGAGCAGATGGCTTCTTCCTCTCCATCTGTCCCACCCAGCCTATGGGGTGGTGCCACTCACACACCTAACCAGTCTTCTCCATTTAGGAAAATCTTTCTGGAAATTCCCTTAGACACAACCAGAACTATTTTACAGTCTCCTGGGTGCTCAATCCAGTCAAACTGAAAATCAAGATTGTCACATTTGTCCACTTCTGAATCTGGTAATCTAGTAATCCTTTGGTCATACTGCCTAGCTGCAAATTCCTGGTCTGAAGAATGGAGAGAATGGATCCCAGGGGAACCAGTGAAGTGTAGAAAGGGGCAACATGCAATTTCTTGTAGCTCACATGCTTTTAACCTCAGGGCATCCCTGTTTTCCCTGTTTAAGCAAAATCAACCTGGGGTGGCCCACTGGTGTTCTCCATCAGTCCTGCAACTGATCACCAGGGGGGACCACCGGCTCCTCCAGACCATCTGTTCTAAAACTGTTACAGGCCCCAGGGAGCACACCAGCATTCTAATCCTGCATAGCACCTGCTTAGGAGCTGTATACCAGGGGGCCGGACCTGTTTCTCCAAGGGGATGGAGGAAAGCTAAATGAGAGGTAAATGAATTTGTATGGGTAGGGGTGGGGTGAGGAAGGCAGAGAGAGATAAAGGAAGGGAAAGAGAGTGGAGAGAGGGAGAGGGGATAGGGGAGAGGGGGAGGGGGAGGAAGAAGGGGAGCGGGAGAGGAGGAGAGGAGAGAGGAGGGAGAGACAGGGCTCAAATATCACAGTATGGAGATCAAGGTCAGCGATCCAGCCAAGATCATCAAGCTTGGCAGCAAGTCCCTTAACCTGCTGAGGCATCGCCAAGACCGTATGTACCGGTTCTTTATCCATTATTGCCCCCTAGTGGTCAATCAAACAAACGTCATAGTTACTATCCAACACACAGGTGCTTTTAGTTTATAGTGAGCTCTATAAACCATGGCAAATTGAAATGCATTGAGTGTACCTGAAGCCTATCATACTTTACACCCCAGCTGAGCATCAGAGCACACTGAGGAGTCCAGGTCATTCACCCTCATGATTGCATGGTTGACTAGCAGGTGCAGCTCACTACTGCCCCACAGCCCAAGGATGAGACTGTATGTTACTAGCTCATAGAAATCAAAATTCAAAGGATAGCTTCTGAGTTCATATCACTCTTGCACCATTGTGAAGTCAAAACTCATGAAACGGTGCTGGGTTTGTGGCGAACACCTCTGATCCCAGCACTCGGGAGGCAGAGGCAGACTGATCTCTGTGACATTGAAGCCAGCCTGGTCTACATAGAGAGTTCCGGGTCAGCTGTGGCTACAGGGAGACCCTGTCTCAAAAAGGCCAAAAAACAAACAATTCATGAAACAAATTTAAGTGGCAGTTCCTAAATCAGTGATTTCCAATAAATAAAATCCATTGTTCCTTCATCTCTTGGTACCTATTGGTCCTCAAGCACTGAGAAATCAGGACTCGAGTGGGGGGGAGTGGAGGGGGAGGGAGAGACAAATAGAGACTGATTTCTAGTGTGCCTGAACAGACCCAACACTTTAAAAGTGTTCAAAACATCAACAGCAACAAAACCCTTACTGCACACAGAGACATGGAGACTGCAGTTAGGAAAGCAGAACCGGGGATTCAAACCCCGTCCCACTTCTAGCCTCTGCACCTCCGGGAGCCCCCATCGTGGGGTCTGCACGCGCCGCTGCACCCCAGTCACAGTGGCCGCAGAGGCCGGGCTGCGTCTCGAAGAGGGGTCGCCACCAGCCAACACCAAGGCCCCAGTGCTCGCCCCGCCCCGTCCCTCCGCGAGGCCGCGAGGGGAGGAGCCCCGCGCATGTGCACAGCTGGCGCCCCCCGCCCCCCGCGCACAGCTGGGACGTGGGCCGCTGCCGGGCGGGCACAGTTGGGAGCCTGGGAGCCGGCGGTGGAAGCGCCCGCGGAGGCCTCCGCCGGTCCGAGCGTGCCAACGTCCGTCCGCGCCGTCGGCCATGGCCGTGTGCCCCGGGCGCCCCTGCCTGCTGGCGCTCGTGCTGTGCTGCGCCTGGGGGACGCTGGCGGTGGTCGCCCAGAAGCCGGGCACGGGCTGTCCGAGCCGCTGCCTGTGCTTCCGCACCACCGTGCGCTGCATGCATCTGTTACTGGAGGCCGTGCCCGCAGTGGCGCCGCAGACTTCCATCCTGTGAGTGCAGCCCGGGGGCGCTGGGGTCTGCGGGACGTGAGATTCGGGGGGGGGGGTGTACGGAGCCTGGGGGACTGGGGTGCAAGGAGATACTGAGTCGGTGGAAGTGGAGGATACTGGCGTCGGGTGTAGGGCGCGCTGGGCCTTTGTCCGTCGTGACCCGGACGCCAGGGGCGGACCCGAGCGCTGAGCGCGCGGCCTCTGGAGCCGCCTTTGTTCAAACTCAGACTCCCCCGCTGCACGGGGAAGTGGCTGGCGGTCTCCAGGGAAAGCCTCACGCGTCCTCTGCGCCCTCCCCGCCGGGTCTCCTTTACTGTTCAGTCTCTCCTTTCTCTCCAGCCTAGACCCCCTCCGCCCCCTGTGCACCCCGAGCGCAGGCCCCCAGCCGGGTCGCCCCTCCTCCGTCCCCTTCCTCCTCCCCTTCAGTCTGCCCGCCCCACTTGTCCTCCTCCCGGAGCCGGGACCCACCCCACCCTGCTCCCGGGGAATCCTGCCTCAGTTCCCGCGTCGCCGCCAGCCCTAAGGGTCTCCGCAGTCGCTCCAGCGCGGAGCCTCCCGTGCGCAGGATGTCCTGGGGACCCCGCAGGGCGCAGCGCCTATGTGTGTGTGTGGGGGGGGTTCCTGCGCCCGGGATCCCCCAGAACTTGGTCAGCGGCACCGTGGGCCCTCCGGGGCACTTTGGCTGTCCCTGGACCCCCGGGCAGTGAGCGTGTTTCTGCTCGCCATGCGTCTCGCGGTTTCCACCCTGAGCTGGTTTAGTTCAGCTCGCAGAGGTGCTCCACTTCCTCGACACTTGGCTTCCAAGTGGATGTCTAGAATAGCACACCGCTGCCCCCCTCCACCCCCACCCCGGGGGCCCCAGATCGGAAGGAATACCGGCCCCTTGGCGCCCGCGGCTGCCCAGGCCCCCGAGCCACCAGAGTTCGCTGCAGGCCGCTCTCCAGGCGACTTGGATTAGAAAGCTCAGGTTCTGTGAAGGCAGGCGTTTTAGACGCCGACTATAATTCTGCGTCCGGCAGCACTTCTGCATTCCAGAAACAGTTTTCACTTTTCGAGACTGGGCTGGGTGACTTTTGGCGTCTCTGAAGAGCCTGTGAATGTTATAAAAATTTGAGGGAACTATTCAGAGTGGACGGAGAGTGTTCTCACCTCCCAAAGTACGTAGATGACCTATTTTCTCAGGCCATAGGTATGGGGCAGGCTGTGCTGTGGTGGGAGGGCACCCATCTGAGAAATCGTCCTCAGTATTGCTAAATAAGGCTTCCCTTCCCCAGGATATGGATGATCAGTCAAGGTCGGTATCTGAGAGGACAGACAGCATGCCGTAAAGCAATAAACATTTAAAACTGGCTGGGGTAAGGTGTCCCAAATGCAGGAAATATCAGCAATGAGTCAGTGGGCAAAACTTGGACCCTGAAGCCATTTTTCACATCTGGGTAAAGTCAGTTACTTACACTTTGTTCTCAAATCTTAATTGCTTTTTGAAACATACTCTTAAATGAGTACTGTGGAACAGACCTGGGGTTCAGCACTCTGCTTTGCATGGTACCATTCTACACAAAAATGTAATGTGAGATGGCTCAGCTGGTTAAAGGAGCTTGCTGCCAAGCTTAACAACCCGAGTTCAACCCTTGGGACCCACATGGTGGAAGGAGAGAACTGACTTCTGCAAGTTGTCTTCTGACATCTCTATGTGTGCTTTGTGTGCACACAAATAAAAATCTAATTTAAAAAAGTAGCAGAGCTTTTGAGGCATCCAGAGTGACACCGCAGTCATGCCTGGATTTCTTCAAAAGGTGTGATTGCAGAAATTCAGACCTTGCACTTGCTTGGATGCCTGAGGTTTTCTGAAAGTTTGAACCAACAGTACTTGGTGCCACTCATTCTTCCCGGCAAGTAGAACACATGCGAAATTGATTAGATCCCTTGGAGAGCTACAGATGTGGGGGACTCAGTGCCTCTCCCTGTGGTGAGTGCTATGGAGGGGTGGTAGACAGAGGGAAAAGAGCTAAGAGCCAGAATTGAGTCTGGGATGGTGTGTTAATGACCATGAGTTAGCAAGTTCCTTTCTCTGGCATAGTGTATGTGTGGACAGGGTTATGTGTGTAGGGCTTGGGGAAGAAAGAGACAGGTGGGAAGCAGAGCCCCATTCTGTGTTTGGGTCCAGACTGGTGTGGGTGGGGTTGCCTGATGGAGCAGTCACATGTGGAAACATTTAGTGCTTTGCTTTCAGCTTCTCTGTCCACTCCCTGATCTCATGTATATGCTGATACTTTCTATTATTTTCTACATTGGAGACTGGAGATATAACAAAGTGGTAGAGAGCTTGTCTAAGCATGTAAGGCCTAGAGTTAGATCCCTGGTACTGCAAAACAAAACTAACAACACAAAAATGGTTGGGTAGAAATTGGACCTAACAAATAATGAACTTACAGAATCCTAGTCCCAAAGTTGATGGGATCACCTCATTGTCACGGTACCAGTTTTGCTGCCCAAACTCCCATCCCCACGTTCCTTCCCAAAATATTGAATCAGAATCACTGGAAAATATCAGGCTCCTCCCAAACTCAATGTTTCAGAGGTGGGTTTTGGCCAGGGGGCATACCAGATTGTTTAGGGCTTCAGAAATGGACTCAGGTCTCGTTGCTGGTCATGGTGGGATAGGCCTTGCTCTCTGGCACCTGGAAGTGTGAGGTGGAACAGTAGTGATGGTACCCTGCACCGTTCTGCACCCAATGCTCTGTGTTGTGCCTCTCCTTGTCCCACCACCTCCGGGAAGTATCTGTCACTTGGTGTGGCTCTGAATGCTGGTAGAAATGCCTGCCTAGTTTTCTCGCAATGTACCAAATAACACCCTGCAGTAGAAGGTGAAGAGTTATTATCAAAGGATAAAGCATGCCCTTTTCCTGACTCCCTTCCTGTGCGCCCCTTTCCCTAGGCTTTCTTGGGGGAGTAGCCTTTAAACAAACAGTCCTGGGTTCTGAGGGCACTGGGCCTCCGCCCCCGACACCCTGCTCCTTTCTCATGTTTCTATCTTCCGAAATCTCCACTGCCAAGATCATGGAAACTGAGCCTGAAAATTAACATCCACTGGGCAGTCCAGGCCATTCCAAAGCCAGGGAGTTGTCTCAAACTCTGGCAATGTGGCAGAAACCCTGGTGCAAGAAGGGCTTGAGGCTGTGATGTAGGTGTGCTTTCCCATGGTACCAATACCTAGACCCCAGAGCAGGCAAGGCCTAGCCCTAGGGCCACTGTCCATAGGCCCCCAAGGCTGGTGCTTCTTAGTTTTCTGGTCACTTCTTTTGTGTTTGGGCTATATTCTATACCAGCCAGTTTAATAAAGACCCAATTCCCGCGCTCATCCTTGTGGGATACCAGGCCCAGCTGGGTGTTGGAGAGTGGGGAGAGCTCTCCTGATGGAGCATAGGGTGATACCCAGGTGTGCCAGGACTCTGGGGCAGAGTAATAAGCAGAGCTCTGGGTACAGTGGACATGCACTCACTTGCACCCATATGGGTGAAATCCCTGAATGTTGCTGCCTTTCGGACCCACACCTGCTTGTTGGGATTAGGACCCATAGGAATGGAGATGGTTCCTGTTGTCCAGCATACTCGTCCCATTTATCACAATGGTCCACATCTTGTCATCATCCATCAGCACTGCTTCTCCAGTGGGTTGTTGAGGAAAGTAGCTACCTACCCACTTCCCTTGAAGACTGGAGGAGAAGAAGTTGGACTGGTGGTATCTGCCAGGCTCCCCTGACCTCTCCTTTCCTGACACTGTCCATAAGTGTATTCAGTTCGTAGGAAGTTCCCTGGCTCCTGATCATGTCCTCTGGGGGCACCTTCAGTTCTTGATTCCTGGGATGAACTCCCCTTCTCACAGTGGTCATTCAACACAAGAGCTCATGGTCCTGGCTTCTAGCCCGAGGGAGGCTCAGATGTATGAGCCCAGGTCTTCTCCCACATGCTCTGCCAGTGCACGGGTGGCTGCTGTGTTCAGTGTGGGTTCCTGGGGTGCTGACAAAAGAGGAAAGAACCCTCGGTGTTCATCTGAGGCCTGACGGGGCCTGTGTCTAGGTGGCATGCATTGGGGCTGTATTGGGATATTCTTCTAGGGATGGGTCTGTGCTGAGGTATCATTACCTGTATTAGTTACTTTCCTGTTGCTGTAACAGAAACACTGACCAAAGCAATTTATACAAGGAAGAGTTTATTTGAGCTTACAGTTCCAGGGGAATTACAGTCTGTCTTGGTGGGGAGGCATGATGGCAGAGGTGGCTGGAGGATGAAGCTAAGCTCTCACATCTTCAAGCAGGCACAGGAAGGAAGAGAGGGATGGGAGATCTGGTAAGGTTTAAGAACTCTTTACCCCCTCACCCAGTGATGAACTTCCTCCAGGATGGCCATACCTTCTAAGATCTCTCAGAACAGCGCCACCAACTGGGGACAAAAATATCCAAATACTTGGAGCCTATGGGGGACATTTTCCTTCAAACCACCTTATCCTCTGAACACTTGTGCTTGGATGGTGTGTGTGGAAAATGCTTCTGTGAGGAAGCCAGGGTAGTCCTGCCTTTTAGTCCTTCTGGCTATGCTTTGAGGTCAAGGAAATGGTTTGAAAAGAATTCATCCACTTGTGACCCTGGGACCAGGCAGCTCCCACTGGAAGCTCAGTTTGATCCTAATGGAGCCAACATCAGGCATTTTTCTCCCCATGCATCACTTGGTATCCTCTTCTGTTAATCTGACTCAGTTTCCCTACCTGATGACTTAAAGCTGTAAGTTCCCTTCTGAGGGAGATTCGGGAGAGAATGCTCTACTGTGCTAGAGAGGTTGTGGGAAAGGCCTTCTTGGGCCAGCTTCTCTATGCTCGGCTTGCTCTTAGTCACCCCATGTCTGCAGTCTGTGCTCCCTAGCATGTGGGAAAGAAGCTTGGGAGGAGTCCATGTGGTTTTATCTGAAGTCTTGTGTGTTGGGCAGGCTGGGCAAGAGGCACAC